TAGGCTAGTTTTATTCTATGATGTAAATACATTAGACAACATTAGACAATGAGTGGTATATCATGTGTCGTCTTAATACGGAAGGTTTGCGGTCTGATAGTAATTAATAATAATATAACAAATTATTTGTCTTCTGAAGTTCCATCATAATTCATAGGTACTTCTAATAAATTCTAAAATCTATAACACCTTAACCTTCTTTCTTAGTACCTAGGTCATAGTTATAAGTTATAAGTTATAACTAACTTTCTTAAATATGGCAGATAAACAAATAAAATCGTTAAAATATGACAATTTGTGTCAAAATTGACTAAAAAAAATTGTTGATTAGATTAGGTATATTTTAAGTGTTTATATTAACATTTTGCATGTATGGTATAATTTTCAAAATATTTTGACACTTTGAGTTATTTAAAAAATTTAAAATTCCATATTTTTTTTTGATTGTAGATAAAAAATTATTACTTTGATAAAATGCTTGAAAATTTAATACAAGATCTCATATAAATTGTTTTTATATCTATAAGCAATCATTAAAAGTACATAGACACAATTTTGTATGCATATGAAGTTTAAATTTTTACAAAATGTATTAAAATCATAAAATTTACAAACTCTAAGTATCTATTTTGTAGTAAAAATGTACAAAACCTTCAATTTTTAAAGCTTAAGTTTTAAAATTTAACACTATGTTCTTTATAAGTAAACAGTAATTCATACTGAAACTAAAAAATTACAAGCCTGATTATTTTTTATAGATTTTAGGAGTTCAACTTGGATGAAATGACGTATTTAATTGATGAATAACAATACTTATTAATTAATTTATTATAAATCAAAAACATTATTGTGGTAGGTAATTTACAATTTTTATGTGATTATTTATACGGTATACATTTTTAATATATTGATCAATTTTAAGAAATTAATAATTATCTAATTACACTATGAACCTTTTCACTTTGTTCTATGGTATTTGCAGCAAGGCGTTATTAATTTAAAAATTAATGAGTAATAGCAATAATATAATTACAATATTAATATATATATATTCATATATTACTTTAATTAAATACAAATAAATAATTGTCAGTATAATCTTTAATTTTAATATTTTATATGCAAAAACAGAATTTTTTCAAAAGGTCTTTTTTTTTATAAAAGACTAAAGAATGTAATAGAAAAAATATTTTTTTAAAAATGTGTTTTATTTTATTCTGTTTACACTTTAAAATAAAGCAAAATTATTTTGATTTTTTCCCCATAACATCTTAACCTAACCTATTTATACAATTACAATAATTCAATAAAAATATACTTTATCAAAGAATAATAGATGGGAAGAACTTTAAAATATTAATAACATTCTTAATGGCACTACTTCAAACATTGTAATATAATGGTATAGTTTACATAAAATTTGATTTTAAAATGTTAGTTGGCATAGTAATAGGATCTTTTTCAATGGTTAAGAATATAGTAACATCTAATAAGCTGCATTTTATGAAAATAATTTAACTAAAAATGTATGGTAGAAAGTTTGTTTTTAATCTCAATATATTATTTTTATTGTTTCTATTTTTAAGTTTGAATTAAGTGTTTTTTTTTTGTAAATTTTGAACAATAGAAACAAATAGAACTCTGAGTGAAATTTTCAATTATAAGGCATTTAATATTATTAAATACATGTATACATAAGAGATTATAATTTATTAAAATTTAAAATCCCTTTAAGCAATATCATAAAAACAATTAACAAATGTGTAATGATAAAATGTAATAGTAGGTATAATATTTTATTTATTTATTTTACAGATATTTTAATAATTGGACAAGACAAGTGACAACAGTATATGGATCAATAACAATTTGTCTAGATATGAACAAAATAGATATGTGTGTTTAAGAAACAAATACAACAAAAAATATAAAAAAAAATATTAAGATACCAAATATTTTTATCATTAACCATCGATTGGAAGATACAGATTGAAAGTAACGCAATATTTGAGTATGTGCTGCTTCAATACTTAGTTCAGCATCTTGAACATTGGAATCAATTCTAGAAAAAATGAAGTGTTTTCAAGTATTTTTTTAATATTAAAATATTGGTAAAACATGTGTAATGGTTATTTTAGTATTTAGATATAAATTATTTCACACCTCTCAACCATTTCTTCTTGCTCTTTAACCATATGTGCAAGTTGTTGAAATATTCCACCCAATTCAACAATAGTTGATTCAATATTTTGCATGGTTTCTGCTCTACTATACAAATATTGATCCTACAAAATAATAAATAATATAATGTAAAAAAATTTATTGAAAATATCAAATCAATAAGATCATGACTACACTATCTATATGTAAATACATTTTTTGTTTTTGTTTTTAACTTAATTGTTTATTTATTATTAATTTGTTCATACAGTATTATCATATACTGCCATTGCTTGTGTCTGTTGTGTGACTTGTTGTAGACGATCTTGATCACCGTTATTATCCATGTTGATAGCACACTGATTACTAGACATTAAAAGAGAATTGTGTCTTGGAACTAGAGATGATGAATCTGATAATGCAGCTAAATTATTTCCTTGAGAAAATTGATCTCTTCTCGATTTGGCATGTTTTAAATTCTAAACCAAATATTTTACTAATTTTAGTATAGTCACAACACATTAAGTATATATATATAAGAGATTAACAAATTTAATATTAGGATGACTAATAGCAAATAGTTAAATATTTTCTCAAAGAAACTTCATCAAATAATTTAAATGTGAACAATATCATATAATAGAAATGTGCAACCGGTGACCGGCATACCTATTTTTATTTAGCCTGTTACATTTTCAAATTACTATAAACAGTAAATGTTTTATTGACATTTTTTTTTTTTGTTTTCTATATTTTAAAGTTCTAAAATTGGCCCTCTTGTAAATTTAAATTGCCTAATCTTATCTTATAATACAGAAACTTACTTTTGTTCTAATTTCAAGAACTAATTTAAATTCATTCGATATATTTGCCAACTTTGATTGTAGTGATAATACAACACTAGACTCATGTGACAATAAATGCTTTCGTCCAACGTTATTCTGAGCAGCTTTTTGTAGTTTAGCAACTTCTTGTAATTTTGCAATTTGTTGATTTAAACTATTTAAATCCTCTTTAATAATATATGTTAACTCTTGAATTTCTTGAGGTCTATCATTAAATAATGATTTTCGTTTGGCAACTAAACAAAATGTTTAATATATATTAATATTTTATATACAGCACCATTAAAATATTGTTAGTAGAAACAGTATAGGATTTTTTTTTTATAATTTATACTTGTAATTATTAGTGGAAAATAGAATCTAAAAATCCATGGAATATTATCATATTTGTGTATATAAATATTTTTAAATAATTTGTATCTACTGTAGTCTGTTGTTAAAATGAACATATTAGTATATGCTACTAACAAATTACAGTACAATGTTGGTCAAAAAACAACAATGCAATTAATTCAAACTAGTTTGTAAATAGTTATAATGTTAAGATAAAAATATGTATGATGGTATGAAAATTTAAATAACTTTACTAAGTTAATATTATTTATTAGTTATTTAATAATTTCAGTTTTGAAGTTTTTGAATTATGGAATCAGGTAGATCAAATAAAAATTAAATAATATTGATACATAAATTACATTTTAGTTTTTAACTTTTATAAAAATACCAACCAATTAAAAAAAAATCTACCTAACATGATTGTAAAATATAATTCATACTTAAAAACTTACGTAAAGTTAATTTTTCTAATTTTGCATAAGTATTACTAATATTGAAGCCAACACTTTTGGCTATCATCATAAATTCTCCATAACTTTGAAGAGCTTTAACTTTTTTTACATCTCGAACTTGCACAGCTCTTGCTATTTGTCGACCTTGAAGGGATCTGACTGCACTATTGAATTCGGCAGTACGGTCTCGCGGCATTATTTTATTTATTTCTTTTTCTCCTGAATGAACAACAAAAGATTCTTGAGTGTTATAATTATTTATGTACGTTGGATCTGAATCAGAATTTCCACGTCTTCTTCGAGTAGTCATTTAAATAATATGATACACTAAATTGGTAACAAAAAAATATAAAGTTTTATTATTTATTGGTACCGCAATTGAAGCACATTATACACATCACGAACTTAATTTATACACGAATGATGACACTAACACTACAACATTTACTTTCTATTTGTTATCAAACTATAAGTACATTCGTACAATTTTTAAATATGTTTACCTGTTAGTGAATTTCATTCAAATATTTATTTTTATAAATATTAACAAAAATTATAGAAGATCCAAATTGTATTCAATTTCCAAGTCGTATCACAGTAATACACTAATATATTTATAGTTAACTTAACTTATTGTTTATTGGAAATTAAAGACACTATTTGTTGAGTTGAGAGTGTATTACGTTACTAAATATTTTATTAATTACTTTAATTTTCTTGACAATAACATACAATCATAGATACGTAATGATAAGATAAACTTATCAAAAACACGTATGCGATTAGGTTACGTTAGGTTAACCATTTTATATGTACCGTGATATTAAATCTGTGGTTACTACATTAAAGTAAACCTGCTATATTGGAGAGTGACATAAACAATAAGTAACCACAGATTAAATAAAATAACTTTACAAGCACTTGAAAAATACACTCAGCTAAGCGCACGCACGCGCACAAGTTACGATTCTTTGGTAAGCGGTAACGACTGTTACTAGTTACTACAGTTACAGTAAAGTAGTGAACAGACAAAACTCAACTGTGAGCAATAACCGTTGCAGCTGGTGGCGACCTGTGTAACTGAAAGGCTGAACATTGAATTACTGATTTGAATAAATACTCGATGGTTGATATCCGCTGTGAGTTGTTTATTATTATTCTATAATCGACGCGTGTGTTGCGTCTGAGTTTCGATTTCTTACCCGTCATGTCCGAATCTGAGGGTAATTCTTTTAACGAAAACGAAGAGGATCAGGTGGTCGGGCTTGTCGAGTATATCAACGATCAAAATGCTGAGATCGAACAGGCCAATCTGATACTCGAGGCGTCTGAAAGCGATAGTTGCACTTATTCTTTGGTTTGTAGACCTTCTGTTGCCCAAACATGGAATATATGAAACAATTAATTCGTCTTTTTACAGGGATATATGAATCGACAAGCGTTATATGCTTGTCTAACTTGCACTGAAAAAGACAAGTTGCCTGGTGCAATATGTTTGCCTTGTATGTACCAATGTCACGAAGACCATGATTTAGTTGAGTTATGGACAAAAAGGTAGATACAATTTGTTTTACTTTTATATATAAATTTGCATAATATAATTATTACCCATTATCATTACCTTTACATTTAAATTTTAAATGAAATTTAAATTAAGATCACATTCATATAAAATAACATAACTAAGTACTAAATTATGTTTAAATATCAACTTTCCTTTTTAATTTTTGAGATACGGTCATTTGCTTTCCAATATTTTTATAAGTATATGGTACTATCTGACAGTGAAATGGAATGATTTCAATATTTAATTATTATGTAAATAATGAATTTATTTTAATTTTAATAAATATAAAGTATAATAGTTACCATTTGATGTTCAATACAAAAAAGTATACTATTTTTTGTGTACTATGTTTACTAAAATGACCTTCGTTGCAATTTTATGTATTCTTATAATCAGAACTTGAAGTTTTACATGAAATTTTAATGGAAATTGCTTCAATCACAAGCCATTAAATTGAGAGATTGAGGAGGCCATGGAATTATCACCGTTGCGTGAAATGACATGGCCTGGAAACAAAGAATCCATAGCATTCTTTGAAATTCTTACTGTGTGACTTTTTGAGAATGAAGGGGTGCTTCATGAAGTAAACAAGGGTTTTCATTCGACTAATATCTAAAGTTTTGTTTATTCACCTTAAATGTTTATATCTTAAATCAAAAGTGTTTAATGCCAATCTACCAAGAACAATTCAAACAACGCATTCCGACAAGATTGAAGCAATTTCCATTAATATGCTGCAAGAGGTCATGCAAAACTTCAAATTCTGACTACAAGAATGTATAAATAGCAATGGAGGTCATTTAGAAAATGTAGTATTTAAAAAATAGTATTTTTTTGTATTGAACATTAAATGGTAACTGTTATACTTAATATTCATATTTATTAAAATTAAAATAAATTCATTCTTTAAATAATAATTAAATATTGAATTCATCCTATTTCACTGCCGGACCATGTAGAATGATATTAATAGACAAAGTAATTTAAAAATTTGAAAATATTATTGTTCATATAAATAAAATATAACACAATATACATAAGAATTTCTTGTCCTCATTTATATATTTCTGAATTGCAACAATATAACTAAAATTATTTTTTGTTAAATATTTTTAATAATACTTAACCTTGTTTATCCAAATAAAAATAAAAATAAAAAGTATTAACTAGATTCAATTTGCTGCCAGAAACAAACCCGTGTTGAAAATTGAAAAAATTTTACTACTTTAAAACATGATGAAAGACAGAAAAAACACAACCCACATCATTAAAGAATCAGTTCATATATTGCTCCTCTCTGACTAAAATAAAATCATGATCAAATTTTTGTTGTATATAACTATTGTTAATACATAGTAGTATATTATTGTATTGATAGAATGTTATAATTATCAGCAATATGTTGTCCTATCTTAAAAATGTATATGATTTTATCCACAATGTTTTCATAATAATCAAGTAAGATTATCAGATTTTTCAATTTTTTACAGTTGAATTTTTAATTTAAAATATTGTGTTAGGTTAACTCTATTTTAGTATATTTATATATTTCAAATAGAGGTAGTGTTTTTAAAAATTGACGTAATATGTAAAAATATGTAATAATTTTAATCCTGTGACATATACAGGAAGCACCAGTCTTCATAGTAATTACTGACTAATTTATGTTTTGTTTTTATTTTTAAAGGAATTATCGATGTGACTGTGGAAGTGATAAGTTAACATCAGAATGTCAATTGGAACCGGTAAATAAAATAATATAGTACATAAGTTAAATGTGCCCTAACAGTATTGTAATTGACTTTATTATTTGTATAAACTAAATTTACTTGAGTTTTCAATTAATTAGTTAGAGCTGTGGTATTAATTGTAGTTGTCTAATTAGAAACTACCATTGCCAACAGCTTTTTAGTTATGAAAGGGGTGGTGGAGGATTGAGCAATAAATATCTTGTTTGTGTATTTGTGAAACTAATCACTCTTATTTTAAATGGACTATAGCATAAAATGCAGTACTGCAAAAAATATTTTCATGGTTAAATATTTAAAATAAAAATTAGTAGATCAGCAATTACGTGATGAAATTTAGTGGATATTGATTTAATTTATGTTTTATCTCTATCTAGGTTATTAAGATGTAATAGTTGATAAATTTGTATAAACATATTGAAAATAATAATTTTATGGAATTTTTAATAATTATTTATATTTTTTTTATATAAACTAGTCAAAACCTGAAGCAAATGACCGTAACATTTACAATCAAAATTTTAAGGGTTTATATTGCATTTGTCAACGTCCATACCCTGATCCTGAAAATACTGATGAGATGATACAATGCATTGTTTGTGAAGATTGGTTTCATAGCAAGGTACTAAATAAATGTAAATATTCTTATATTCAGTATTAAAAAAAAATATTTTATTAGCATTTGGGCACAAAAGATATGAATCCAGATGATTATTCTGAAATGATATGTTCTGGCTGTACATCAAAATTAAGTTTCTTACCAGCTTACAATCATTTAATTGGTAAGAATTTATTTATTTTTATATTTGTGAAGATGATAGTCAATATAATAAAAATACATTTAATTAATCAATTTATTTCAGTACCAAAAATCATAATATATTATATATATATCAAAATAAGCAACCATTTAAACAATTTTAAACACACTTATAAACTAAATATTATATTACATTAAAATTATTACATATTATTTTGCAGTAACTGACGATTCTGTACAGAATATTGAAAAAGGTGATGAATCTGAGGTATGTTTTCAAATAATTTTTTTTCAATTCATAATTTTCATTTCTGTATGTTAAATAATAATTTTCTTCAGTTATAACTGACTTATTTCACATATGCAATTACAAATATTGATGATATGTGATATTTGAATCCTAAACAAAAAATCTCAGTTATATAACACAATTAAATTTAAATGTTTTTAATGCTAACATATATATTGGTATGAATTAATTTAAGGTAGATATTAGCAAATGTTAAATTAATTTGTTATTCCTTAAAAATATTTTTATATTTTAATTTGAAATAAATTTTTTTTACATAGGATGTAGATGTTGTAGATACAATCAAGGATTCTCAAGGTAAATTCATCACTAATCATTTTAAAAAAAGTTATCATTTTTACACAAAATTTATTTTTAGATAATGCTGAAAATGGTTTAAACGTTGCACCCAAGGACAAAGTATGTTTAAATTACTTAAAAAGTTGTTTAGTTTTCATTAATTTTTTTTTTTTTTTTAGATATTTGAAAATTCTAAAGCTGGTACTTCTAGTGGGGAAAATTGTAAATTGATGGATGTAAAAGATCCAAAAAAAATTATTGGAAGTTCTTTCTGGGTAGAAGGTTGGCGACAGCAACTTTGCACATGTTCTTCTTGTATTGTAAGATAACAAGATAAATTTAAAATTACAATTTATTATAGGTATTAATTTTGATATATTTTTAGGAATTATATAAGAAAGAAGGTGTTCCATTTATTACCGATCAACAAGATACATTACAAGCATATGAAAACAAAAGTCGTGAAAGAATGATGGCTAAGGAAAAACAAAGTGAAGATGGTCTTTCAAAAGCCTTATCATCAATGGATAGAGTGGCAGCAGTGGAATTAGCTCATCGTTAGTATTTCTTTATCTTTATTTTCAAAATAACAATATGACTTAATGTTATTTTGTAATATTTTAGAATATAATCAATTCAAAGAAGAACTAGGAGAGTGGCTGGGTAGTTTTAAAGGTGATAAAGTAGTTAAAGTGGAAGATGTGCAAGAATTTTTTTCTAGTATGCAAGCGAGGAAACGTGCTAGAATGGATGATGGAATTCCTCCAAGTTTCTGTCGTTAATTTAGTGTATAAAACACATTTATAATCATAGTTTTAAATATTTATAAATAAGCTAATATTTAAGTATTTCCTAGTATTGTACTTTAAAAAAAAAATTTATTCATTACATTTGTATTTTTTATTCATATTTCAATAAAATATTAATGTAATAATTTACTCATAATATATAATATATCCTAAAAGTTATTGTATTTTTTATTAATTAGTTCTCATTCAAACAGGATTCTTATGACAGCTTGTTGTCTTTAATGGTTGGCAGTAATTTTTAAATGTGCGTGTTTCAATAGGGTTTATTTTTGTTGTGTACTGTGCATACGCCATACATATATAATATATTAAAATAGTTTTGAAAATTAAATTACACATGTAGTATCTAATAAACAATTTAAATAATAAAAAAATGTACTTAATCATAGCCACATTTTTTAATGTAAAAAACCAAGTTTAATAATAACTAAATTTAATATTTGAAAAATAAATAAATACCAATTTCATTTTTTTTTTTTTTTTTTTGTATAAATTTACCCACATTTAAAATTGTTATAGGTAAAAGGGAGAAATTGTACTAATATTTAATGCTTTTAAAAATTGTATAGACTACAAACAATTGTAAATTTGATACATACTATTTGTATAATTAGGCTTATACAATACATATCACAATAAAACAGTGTTATAACCAAAAAGCCAATCATTGTCTAAATGCCATAACGATAAAAAGAGTGTGTACTGTGTAATAATGTATTCATTAATATAATAAAATTAATAGGGTTTTATTAATGATCCATTAAATTTGACTGCATACTTATATGGGTAGTATTTAGTAATAGAAATAACAAAAAAATAATGAATTTATCTTAAAAATATACAAGACGTAATTGATAAATGTACTAATATAATTTTCATTCATTTAGAGAAAAATTTTTTCAAATTATATTACGAGTAATATTAGAAAATTTAAGTTTACGATCTGTCAGTAATACATTGTGGTAAATTTATTAAATAATTTAAATTTTATGTACCTATGATCTGATAACAACAAACTGTTACTTCTGCTTCACCACTGGTTACAAGGAAGGCAAATTAATGAGGATGATCTGTAAAGTTTACAGTCAAAACTTAATCGTTGCATTTTTAGTTGTACACTTGTACAGAATTATTTATAAATTATGATAATTTGATTAGAAGCTCTAGGAAATAGGATTTTCGAGTAAAAACATACAAATGTACAGTCTTATTTTTATGCAACAGTCTAAATAATATTTTGGCTAATAAAAAAAAAATTGTAAAAATTATTTATTTCCATATTCATAAGCGGGTAAAATTAGGTAAAATAATAAGGCAGAGAACTAAATATATAAAAGTATTATATTTTTAATCGATTTAAACAAAATATATTTTATCAGTCAAATAATAAAAGCATTTCATTTTTAAATTACATTTAACATTGAATATAACATTATGAAAAGTAAAACAATAAAATTGAAAATATTGTATAATTACCACTAATCTGTTGATAAATATATTTTTCAAATTGTTTTTAATGTAAAACTTTAAAATAATATTGTTATAATTAATATTATTTTACTTACTTTAAACTCTACTTTTTGTTTTGAACTTCTTTATTTGTCAGGTCACCCAAAGATTTTATGTATTTATATGATTTAATCTTCGACATCTTCATCCGTAGTAAATTCTGAAATATCACTTTGCTTATCTTCTTCTTTAGTGTCATCTTCTTCATCAGAAATATCCCACTGAGGATGTTCTGTCAAAGGTTCTGGTGCTTCTTTTACATCCAACTAAAAACGATAAAGTAGAAAAATAATGCTAGGAATTATATACATATTTTTTTTTATTATCAAATACTACATTGGATTATATAAATATAATTTTTTTTTTTGGGAAAAGCAAAATTAATTATTCATAGAAAACTTAAAGATTAAAGTATTACAATTGATGACTAATTAATTCAGAAAAATTGATTAGAATTTAGCATGATATTGAAATATTTTATTTAATATTTTTTAATTAATTAGGTTTTTTTATTAGAAATACTTTAATTTTCTAAATCATGCAGTAAGCTACTTGCATTTAAAAGTATTCAGAATTTACTAGTTTTATAATTATAATGACTAAGGTTCGGGACTTCTTGCATTTGCATGTTTTTTTATAGTGGTCGTAGTCTATTATAAGTGAGTAATAAATTTGATTTATGAAATTACGAAATTAAATACTAAGTTTGAATTTGCATATTTTTGCATATTTCGGCATATTTTATATTTTTATAAACGTAAAATTGTCGGGAAAAATCATAATTGGATGGCCGTAGTCTGTCGTATCTAACACGTACGTCAGTTTACGTTGATAATCTCTTTATCGCTTAATAATCAACCTTTTTATCGACAATATCGACAATTAGTATAGTTATGGTAAAACCCAATAAATTCAAACTTTCCCAAATAATCAATTATTAGCCGGGTATGAATTGTACGATGAAATGAAAAGCAGTACGTGTTCGTTTGTTAATCACATCATCACGTTTACGTTTTTTCTTATTAACTGTGCTATTTTTTTTTTTATTATCAATTTGTGTTTAAAAACTAGTTTAAAAATGCCCAAAATAAATGGTAAAATTAATCAATATATATCCGAATTCGGAAAAATATTTTTTCTACGGATGGAATTATTTTATTTTGTAAAGTATGTGAAACGAAGGTAGGTGTTGATAGGCGATTTATTGTCGTACAACATTTAAAAACAGAAAAACATAAATTAGCAGTGAAGCGCCAAGAAGATCGGATTAATAGTACCTCACAACAGTCACAGCAGTTAGTATTTACTTCAATGCATTCAAAAAAAAAGCACGTTTAACCATGACTTGTGCGAAACATTGTTGTCCGCCAATATCCCATTAAATAAATTAAGCAACTGTAGTTTCAGAAATTTTCTAACAAAATATACAGGAAAAGAAGTACCGCATGAGTCCACTCTGCGTAAAGGTTATGTTGATGAAGTCTATAAAAATATAATAAACAAAATTCGTAATTACGTTGTTGGGAAAAAAATATGGGTTAGCATTGATGAAACGAATGATGCAACCGGTAGATATGTAGCAAATGTCATTGTAGGTACATTGGAAGAAAATAATTACGGTAAACAATTTCTGTTACACGTAGAAGAGTTGGAAAAAGTTAACCATACGACGATTTTCAAATTATTTGATAAATCGATGAATATTCTGTGGCCGAAAGGAGTAAGACACGATGATGTGCTGTTGTTTTTGTCCGACATTGCACCCTATATGGTAAAGTCCGGAGATGCAATAAAAAATCTATATTCAAAAATTATTCATGTAACATGTTTGGCACATGCCTTTCATAGAGTAGCTGAAACAGTACGTATAAATAACCCTAAAATTGATAAAATTATTTCAAATGTAAAGAAAGTGTTTCGTAAAGCCCCGTCTCGCATTCAAGTTTTTCAAAATATGGCTCCAACATTAACACTCCCACCTGAACCAATTTTAACGAGATGGGGTACATGGATTGAAGCTTGTCTCTATTATTGTGAACATTTTGAATTAATAATCAATTTTAAACTCTTTCGAAGAAAATGATGCGGTCTCTATTAAAATGGCACAAAAGTATATTGGACAAAAAAACATTAAAAATCAATTAGTGTTTATTAAATCAAATTTTGCATATTTGCCTAACACAATAAGGAGTCTTGAAAAGCAAGGACTATCACTTGCTAACTCTATTTCATTAGAAGAGGATGCAAGGTTAAGATTAACCCAAATACACGGTGAACAAGGAATGTCGATAAAAACAAAAATAGAAAATGTGTTAAATAAAAATAAAGGCTATCAATTATTAATAAAAATTTCAAACATTTTGTCGGGAGATGAAGAAACTTTTGACGGATTACCTGAAGATATGAACATTAACGATTTAATATATTTTAAGTACGCACCAATCACTTCCGTGGACGTTGAACGTTCTTTCTCTATGTACAAAAATATACTTACAGATAATCGCCGTGCATTCAAATTTGAGAACATAAGAAAATATCTTACCATACAGTGCAATAATTTTAACGGTAAAATTACGAAAAAACTCATTAAACATAATAATACCTTTATTAATTTTATTTTTTTTTGTTTTATGTTACAGATGAGTATGAAGACGATACAGACGAGGGATGAGTAACCCATGTAAAAATTATTTTTATTATATTAAGTACCTACCTAATTTTTAGATTTTTTTTTATAATAATAATTTATTAACAATATATTTTATGCATTTTTTAAAAAAAATTATAAAAAATTAGCTGCATATTTTGACGATTTTGACTGCATATTTCGATAATTTTAAGTGCAAGAAGTCCCGAACCCTAATAATGACTATATGGTTGTAAATTAAATAAACAGAATTTAGCATACATAATGAATGGATATTAAATACAAATATTATAATAAATTATTAACAGTATAATATATTATATAATAGTGTTAAAACTATGATTATAGTAATACCAGTATATAAAGTTTATTATGTGTCTAAAGTTTTTTATTAAAGTACTTACTTTGATATCATGCATTTGATCAAAACCAAAGTATGAATCTGATCTTAAACAAACGGCAAAAACATAAACTCCAGGCCACCTAGGAGCTGTAAATTTTAATTGAATTTCTTCTTCATCAACAAGTTCAGTGACATGATATGGAACAGTTAATAATGTACGACTTTTCCGATCACTTAAATAAACCCACCAATATTCATGTTTTTCCTGTAAAGATACATAAATTATAAAAAGTTTTGTTAATTAAAAAAATATTTATATTATAATTGATTAGTAACAATAGTTGAATTTTTATACTTCAGGAAAATATGGAGAGTGAACTAAATGTGACTGTTTAGTTCTCCCTTCAAGTACTCTATCTTTTTTATTAGCTCCCGATTGAAATTTATCCCAATCATCATCATCATCATCATTATTTGCTGAAACCTATTAAAAAATAAATAACTTATTATTTTGTATAGATGGACACAAATATTAAATACTCTTAAAAAACAATTGGTGCAACTTCTATTGTACATTTGTACCAAATATTCTCTTACCATGAACCATTATTATAAATTAATTAACTATTAATATTTTAGAAAATATTTCTTATAAATAGCTTAAAGTTAAGATAATACAATATTTATTATCTTTTAAGTTTTTTACTTTTTTAAATGATAACACATACATTTTTGATTTCATATTCTCAAGCAGAATATTTTTTGGAGTATTCTGATGCATAGAAATTGAAATTCAGATAAGAAAATTTTGAGTCATTAGTACTTAAGTTTAGGTTAGTGGAATAGTGACCAACATTTTTCTGAGAATTTCTAAACAACTAAATATTGTTAACTTAAACTTTAAATACTTATAACTCAAAAAGTACTCATTGGAATTTTTATTTCTATAAATTGACTGAAATATTCAAAAAAATATTCTTCTTCAGAATATTAAGTAAAAAACTTGAAAAATTAAAATGATATAAAATATTAAAAATATATATTTTTGAATTAATGATGTTTTGTAATCACCCTATATATAATAATGGAAGTCATAAGTTAATTAAAATGTCACTTTTAATAATCAATATATTTTATGTGAATATCAACATTTTTCATACGTTTGATTTTTAAGGAAATATATAGAATGCTCTAACAATTTATGATCGTTCTATAATTATATATTAAAATATATTGGGTATATTTATTTATCATAAAATATAAATAAATTATAAGAAAAAATAATTAATATCACATACTGCAGCCATCGAGAAAATGTTACTTCATGGCACATCTAAATTAACAAAATCTGCAGTTTAGTGCCCAAATTTCTAACACTCTACTAACTACTCGTTACCGTAAATTTCTTTAACCACAGCAACCTATGTTTGGGCAGGTTTTAAGTGGTGGGAATGTGTGAGAATGGATGAATTTTAGTTGCCATGCAGTAGTGTTCTCTCAATAGCCAGAGTATAGACATTAAAAATTATATTTTCATTTTTCTTCTTTTATTGTTAACATTTACTTATATTTTTATTAGAATTACATTAATTATTATATGTTTAGCCTATTTATTGACAAGCCAATCTCCATTTTACAAAATATTTCTAATTCTAAAAAAAATATATACTTTTTATTCATAAATCATTATAAATACCTTTTTTTTATCATCTGCTGTTTCTTCGGCATCTGATTTTTCTGATTCATCGCCAGAAGCATTACTAGAACTTTCATTATCTGAATCAGAGTCGTCATCTGATGATGCATTGTTATCTTTTAATTGCTCTTTATCTTCAGTTTTATCATCTTCAATTTCTTTGGTTTCTGAATCTCCTAGCTATAAAATAAAATTATTAAATAAGAAATAATGTGCATGTTTATTTTAAAAGTGATATTTGTATATTAAGCACAGTGATCTCTATCTTTTTTTAAAAGATAGTGATAACATTTTAATAAAATCGGTATTTTTCATCTAATATAATTACTAAATCATATGATGATAATATATAAATATAAAGCAATAATTATTATAACCAGAGGATTTGACAATAGAAGAATCAGAAAGAATACAAGGAATTAGTAATCAATAATATTATAATTAAACATTTTTTGGGTCAAGCAAATCTTATGAACTACTCTTATTATTGAAATTTACCAATAAACAAAGTCAAATTAATTCTTACTTTTGCTTTTTCTAATTTTTCTTTCTTTTTAATTTTTTTCTTAGCTGATGCTGATAAAGTAGTTTTTTGTTTTTTGACATTTCCACTTTTTTTACCTTTTCCTGATTGACGTTTTTGCTGCCAAATACCTTTAGTTGCTTTTTTTTCTTTTTCATCATCTTTTATTTCTTTATTTTCAATGTTGTCACTATTATTTATAATATCTCCGTTAGACAAAGGTTTCTCTAACTTATCTGGTTTTTCTGATTCTTTAGCAGCATTTTTTTCTAGCTCAATGTGATGCTTATCTGCATACGAATCATCTCCAAACAATACCTTCATGTCTCGTCTTTTCAACTGCACAGTTACAGTGACTATAGCTCCAGCTGTATAAACTGTAGTAGCTTCATCATCAATAACTGAATAAAATGTTATAATATAAATAAAACATTTTGATAAATAAATAAAACTTTTAAAATATACTAATAAATACCTTCACAACGAACTTTAAAATCTATATAAGGCATTCTACCTAATACTTTTACTAAATCTTCATACTGACTATCAGATAAAAATTTTAATGTGCTTCGTCTGTCTTCATTTTTTAATTGAGCAAGATGCTGAATACTTCTAACGCGTTTCTACAAATACAATAATACATTAAAAAAATTTGATCGTCTAAATTATTTTTAAAACTAACCTTTTTGTTGTCGAAATGTTTAATGTGATCTTCAGTAATGTATGGTAATTGCATAAATGGACTTTTATACTCCCATAATGCTTGGACCACCATGGGACAAAGTTTCATACAGTTTTCTATGGTTTCAATATTAAGCAAACGAGGCACTAATCATTAAAATAAATATTTAGTTTAAACATAGGTACATACATATCCAAGTATTATTAATTATACAAACCTCTTTGAGCATATGCTAATAAAATTAATTGAGAAACGACACCAACCATCTCTTGTATTAAATATGGACATTTCTTCACTATATACATACGATCTAAATCTAATGTATCTGCCTTAAGTACTAGGCGAGACAGATGTGCATGTATTAAAGCTCTAGCTTTTATTGAATAATTATAAGACAGTGGTGGTTCTTTTTGTGCCTTTTCTCCAAAATTATAAAGTTGTTTTATAAGCTAGAAATAAATTAAAATTTTATACTATTTTGATTTAATCAATATTTGTAAGCAATATTATAATCACATATTATAATGCAGACTAACTAAATAATAAAAAAAAAATCATTAGATAAGTACTTTATTATAATAATAATAAACTGATAACAGTATATAAATATAAATATTTTTTACCTGAGGCATTTCATATTCATCTGAAGATCGTTCAACAATTTCACTATTGTACTTTTTTTCAAATTCTAGTGAAGCACTTAATATCATTATAACTCGTTTCAAAGGTATTGAATTTGATTTGTGTAAAAAATAATAATACATTCGAGATGTCTCCAATAAAACCTACAAAAATAAAAAGTAATTAGGGAAAAACTAAAATTATTAGAAATAATATTTTAATAATATCAGACTTGGTAGATTTTACATACCTTATCACCAGAATATCTGATAGATTTATACCACCACATACCAACTGTAGTAGGCAGTGCAATCATAAAAACTAAAGCATACAGACCTAAGACCTACAGAGAAAAATGCAAAAACAATTAATGTTTTTCGTGATTTATAAAATCTAATATTAATTCAAAATAATAAATATCAACACAATAAGTATTAATAATATGATCTTTCAAAAAAAAATATTCTAAAATGTGTAATTCCAGGATGTCTATAATAAAACATCACTAACAGGCTTTAATGCATTTATATTAAATAACTAAATAGGTATTTAAAATAATAATTAAAAATATATTTAAAAATATATTATTAAAAATATTTAAAAATATAAAATAAAAAAAAATATTTTATTTTAAAATATTTTTTTAAATTTAATCTAATTCCACATAAAATTTTATAACGAAACAAATTATAATCAATAATTTATCAATATAATATTAATTTTTACCCAAACTGAATTTTCTTTTTCAACAATCCATGATGGTAATGCTATTCCAAAACTCATTGCACCAGGTCCATCTGGATTCCCATATTTTTCCCAATTTTTTCTGGACTCATCATCAGTTAAAGCTTGATAAGCTATAAATATTTAAAATTGTACACAATATTATAAATAATAATTTATTAATAGAAATCAGGTAGTCTATTAGGAAGATATCAAAATTGTGTAGAATAATAAAGTCTTACTAATTATTTAAAGAGACAATTAAAAAAAATTAGAAACAATTATAAATCAATAGTTGTCACATATAAGACCTATAAATTAATTTACTCATTCATTAAATGGTTTAATAACAAAAATATAAAAATTATTCTATTTCAGCATAATTATTTAATATAATTTATAGTACTGTGGGTTTTGTATTATTGTTTAAATAAACTGTTTATTTAATCAATGTTTGTATGAACCAAAAAGATTGGAAATAAATGGTTCTAAAACTATTTAATTGTTTGTGAAAGTGATTATGGGAGACGAGTAGATAAACATTTTTGAGAATAATTTACATTTAGAAAAGATTTTTTTTTATAGACATGTAAATAGTAAAATGTAAAGTAATTAATATTTGGTTCAAAGAACATCTCTCCCTTCGAATATTTAAGTTAAAATTTTAAAATATATGTTTTTCACTATTTTTAATACATTGAACAACTATTTGTATATTTAATACTTTTAGAAACTATGAATCAATCTTCTTATTTTAAAATATTTAAGTATTAAAGTGTTACCTTTAGTAAGTTTCATAAATTTTTTTTCATCACCAGTTTCCTTATCTGGATGGTAAATTAATGATAACCTTCTGTAAGCTTTTTTAATTACTTTTTCACTAGTTCCCTTAACAAATTAAAAACAATTTAGTAAAAAAAATAATATATTATGTAATAAATAATGATGAACACATACTATTGGAACATTGAGAATGTCGTATGGATCAAAACTTGCACTCTCATAATCAAACTGGGATACTTTGTAGGCGAGAAAAGCCAACAACACCCATCCAGCAATAATAATGACTTTTCTAAAATATATTATAAATATTTTTAGTAAATATAACTTAATATCTAATTTATCGTAAATATAGCTATTAGAATATAAAATATAAATTATTGCATAAATAATTATGTAGACATTTTTTGTAAGGGTTATTAGATTTAAATATGTATAGATCAAAAATTACAACAATGTTCTATCACAAGCAAATTAAGTCAATTTTTAAACAACAGAGCAACTAGTTAATACAAAACCATAAATTAGTCAACTCTAGACTATAACTTTTAAACCTCTCTTGAAATCTAAATTATCTTTAGTAAATAAGGTCACAATGTACAAGTCATTAACAATTCCCTCAGTCTGAATTAATGGTATTCAACTTTAAAAGTCTACTAATCCATTCAATACCACAACTCATAAGGGTGTCAAATTATTTGCCTATAGATATTGGATAGTAAGTAATAATCTCTTTCTCTTTACGTACAACTAATATAAATCTCTACAAAGACTTAAGACTATAACCTTAAATGATTTGAACAAGTCTTATAACACAAAATTCTATTCAAATCCACTAATCAAATAATTAACTTCTTTCACAAATGGGTATGTACTCAGAATGCATAAGATAAAAATTTATACCACAAAAAATAAAATAAATTTTTATTTTGATTAAAAAAACAATAAAATAAAACTTAAATATCTTGTTAAATGACATTGCTAAGTCTTTATATTTTGTTATAAATATTATTTTCAATTTTCATTAAAATTATTATATTGTATAGATTGTAATTATACTTTGTTTAATAAATAAATAAAAAAAAAAACTATGTTTTAATTAATTAAATTACATTTCTAAATTTCCCTTGAAAGTTTCATGAGCTTTAACTCTTATAATTTATATAACAAAAATGTTGGTAATTGTTAAATTGGATAACAGACTTACAGGTGTAGGTACTTAATATTCAAAACACTGAAAATTGAGAATTTGTTGAAAAGAAAAAAGTTACCAATGCAGTTTAAAAAACTTCTTTCTACTATTTAATTACTATTTAATATAATATTCTACATATAATAGTCTTTGATTATATTCAAAATAAAATGTACTTACATGCATGTCCTTTTCATCAATTCCCATGGTTTGGTGGACTGCAGGATAAGTTTTTTTTTCCGACATCCTGGACAATAACATTCAGATGCCAACGCTTTTGGATCTAGAGTTCAAAAAATTAATATAAAATAAATTACGTATGTCGATTAACGATATGACAATCATTGATCTTCATTACCTTCTTTTTGTTTTCTTGGCCACCAGTAATATGTGCCGGGAATCAGCAGAAGAGCCAGAAACGACAATAGAAAATAGAAAAACGTTGCTCCGCTTTCGTCGTACTGAAACTTTTGGCCGGCCATTATTGTTATTTCGGGTCGTACATAAATCGAACATTTACTCTGGGAGCATGATGCGGTTATGAGTTAATTTACATAATTTGAATAATCAAAATATTGGCCAACGATGACGACCAAATGGAACCCTACGATAACAATTTAATATTGTTTTAACGTTTGTAACACGTCACGTAAACTTCTCAACGATAAAAAGAAAAACAACCAGGTGTAAACGTATGCACTATAAATTATTATATTGATGGTGATACGACGTATCGCCGAGATGGCCAATGGTTGACGTCCAATGTCCCCGTCGACTGCAGAGTCCACCTCAAAAGTATGTATATATAGTAAGGGCAGAATATCGTGTATTATCTTTAATCATGTTCCTCAATTGTGGCGGTTATCATTTTTTATTGTCTGTGATAAAAATATGATAGCACGCGCACGCTTTTCACTATATTCCTGGAGTATAAAACTGTTAGTTGCGGGTAGTGAATCTTATTGTTCTTCCACGAGAAACAGCCATCGGTAAGTTGGTTACGAGTGTAGTGTTTGACAACGATTACGTGTATCAATGGCGAGTGTTCGTGTTGGCAACACTGGACCAAACGAGCAGTTATTTAAATAAGTCTCATGCTCGTCGTCCCGCGACCTAAGTACTCTCCGTCCACCAACATTTCTGTTTCGTGCTCGCTTGAGTCACTTCTGCTCCTGTCCGTGCGCTTCGTACGTAGCTAGTCCGTGCGTGCGTGCGTGTGTGCGTGTGTGTGTGTGTGTGTGTGCGAGACTTGCGTCGTTCCGTTACCCGTGTGCCGTGTGCGATACGAGAGAGAAGCCATTTTGTTCCGTGCACGAAAACACCTCTCATCGTTTTGGGTTTTTTCTTCGCGTTTATAGTCCGTTTGCCGTTCCAACGAATCGGTTTCTTTGTTTTCGCAGACGTCGGTGTCGTGTGCACGTCGAACAACGCTATGGCTTGCGCTACGCTGAAACGGTCGCTAGATTTTGAACCCCCTATGTGCAGACCTACCAAGAGACAAAGGTGCACGCCTATGAGTATATCGCCTTCGAGCTCTCCCCCAAACAGCTCTAGGTCCGAATATGTTTCGCCCCATTTTGGCGGCGATGTCGTACCAAAAATCACGGCAGGTAAGGAGAATTTTTTTTGTCTCGTAAATGCCGTTTGAATCAGTTATGATTATTATTATTATTATTAATATTATTCCCGTTGTTGCGGCGGTGTTTATGGCGATGTCGTTTGCTATAAATAAAAGAATAATTGGTATTAATTGGCAGTTATTCTCTATCTATGTCGCTTGATTTCACCCAATTTCATATCTTAATCGTTATGAATATAAAGTACAAATAGTACAATAAATCCAATCAAACTTGCCAATAATTGATGTATTGGCAGTTATTGTATTCTAACAGTATTGAGTAAATGTATCAGTAAGTTTAAATTGTAAAACAATTATTTATGGTTTATTGGTGTAGGTTTAACAACTTAAACTAGGACAATATTTTAAATTTGGTATCTAATCCACCTACTATGAATGGTAATCTGCTTATTTTATTGTTATTGAGATTGTTATATAATGAGACGCTTATTACGATTGATTTTAAAATAACTAAATAGTTAATTACATTGTTATTTTCATTGCCATATGAATGTTTAAGTATTCTGTTTAAATTATGGCATAACAATTTAACCTATACTAACTATATTTACATTTTTATTAAATCTCTCATTTATTTTGTTAATAATGCTAATGGTATTTTATCACATTTTGAAACAAACTTCCAAGTATATACTTGTTTATAATTACTTGACCACTGTATGATATAATTTTTTTATTTTTACTAAACAATGTTTTTGCAATTCATAAACTTGAAATTATACTTTTAAGTTAACATTATTAATAAACTAAGATTATTAAGTTTGTACCTAATACTATATTTAATATTGAAAATAAATAAAGTTGTTTTGGTGATTACTTTTATTAATGAACTATCAAACTCTATTCATATAATTTTTCTGTTGCATTGTTTCTCCTAAAATTTTAACTCGTGAATAGATTTAGAAGGAATCAACAATGTAGTTTTTTATGTCAAATTAGAATAAGAAATAATTTTATATTAATAGTGAGTGTATTATATTTATATTATTTTTTTGTTGGTAAATTTCATGTCTAGAAAACTAGATAATAGAATTTTTTTTAAACATCTTTACGTGTATGAAAAGGCAATCAATGTAGGTACTTATAATGCAGATTATAATATTATAATTAATTATGAATCTATTTAATTAATAAAGTAAATAATCTTTTTTTCATGTCTCTAGAACTTTTTATGTGTATTTAATCGTCATAATTTCAAAAACTAAGTTTAATTTAATGTATTTGTTTTTTTGTATCAAAAAAATATTGATAAAATGATAATAACATAATAAACTTGGGTCATTAAAAAAATAAATATATTTCAATTATTTTGAAGTTCATATAGCAAATATTATATAATTTAAGATGCTTTTATAAATAAAAGTAGATTGTATTAAAGTTAGTATAAAGATTTATTTAAATATAATATTAAATACTAAAACGACAAATACAATTAATTTGAACTTTGTAGGTACTGAATTAGTACTTCAGGTTGAGTTATTAGAATGAAATAATAACTAAGAATGCATACTCAATGCCTATTAAAATAAGTATAATTATATTATAATAAATACATGTATAAAATTAATAATTTAATCAATTTAATATTATACCTACTACTTGTTTTTCTAATATTGGAATTATTGATTTTATCAGTGGAGTCATCATAGAATTATTGATTGTAGATTGAAATGTACAATTAATAATTTAACTAAAATGCATGGCTTATCTTATTCATAACCTTCTATTTAGTATTTGCTATAATTGAGTATAGGTACTCATGTTTAGAAATAATATGACTAGATAACTACCTTTACAACAAAAAAAGTTGTCAATTGGTAATTTTATACTAAAGAATAAAAATGGTTTTAGATCTTCATGGATATTTTTATTTTTAAAGATAAATATAATATAATAACTATGGAAAATAAAATATATTCTTGGATTTCAATCTGCTTGTTACACTATCATTTAAAAATACTAATCTCAGACACTTAAATAACTAGATAACAGACTTGATTTCATCTCTAATTCATTGCTACTATTTGTCACATCGACAATATTTACATAATATTATGCCGTTTATCAAAGACAAACTAATACCAAAATTAATACATATTATTCTAAACTTGTAAATAGAATATCGATCATGATTTATTAACAAAATAAAAGTGATGTCTTAATGATATGTAGAGATTTGGTCATCTAGTTGTTTTATTTGTCTAGTTCTGTAAGACTGCTGTAGGAAATAAAAATTAAAAGTTAAGAAAATATTATTTTTCATACTTAAAATGTTTGAAAATGTTCCTTCATGTTATTTTACATTCTATGTCATCTGATTACATGATAATAATTAATATTGGTTTGCAGTATTGTTAATTTTTTTAATTTTATGAGTTTAACGTTGAACATTAACTATGATAAAATCATCTAAAAATGTAAATCAGTTCTTTTATAAATTAAATGTATAGTTGTATAATTGTTATCAAACTACTATAAATTTTATTCTGTATCGGTAACTTTTGTAATATATGATTTACCCTAAGATCAAAAATCATTAAAAAAAAATGATCTTACATGAATGTGTGTGGGTTTAATAGAATAAACAAAAGTTACTCTGATCTCATAAATAATTTCTTGACTTGGTAAATTAATCTTATCAATAAATCAATGATGATAATAAGACCTATTGTGTACGATTTTTAAAAAATAAATTCCTTGTATGATATATTTTATTTAGTAATAATTTAAAATAATTATTACTATTATTTTTGGATTATCTAATGCTTTAAAAGAATTTTAATAAAGTTGAAATTTTAATTCCCAGAATAATTAAGTTTAAAATACCAATAAATTAAATGTTATCATTTTTATCTGTTGTGTCTGTAGATACTCATGTAAAGTTATTTTATTTTTACATTAATATCTTAAAGTTTTAACATATCAAGATACTACAATGGAGCGTTAAGTATCCATGGTAATTGAGATTGAGGGGGATATGGATAGTCAAACCATGATTAAAAATATATAGTGAACATAAATTTAAATAATTAAAAGTAAAAAAAAAAAAAAATTTCAACAATTTTGTAGTGTGTGGGGATAATTGATGCTCCACTGTGTTATAATTAGTTATGTAGTTGATTGTGTATGCAGGTATATGGCATATTATAAATTCTTCATTTTTTGTTTGATTTATTTGCTTATTATATAATAGTTTTGATATTAATGTTAATGCTAGTCGACTTTTTCTATTTAAACAGTATAATATAATTTATAATAAAATAGTTATTATAACGTTAAGAAATCCTGAATTTCAAATTAGGTTAATACATTCAGTAAAGCTTAAGTTTTTAGAAAAAGTTACTCGTAAATCACAAATATAAAGAATTTTTTTAAGGTTAAAATCTCCAATTTTAGTATTGGAAGGTATTTTTCTTTACAATGATAGAATGAAATAAACGTTCATTTGGATTTATTCAAATTCAAGCTATTTATTGAACATTGATAGAAAAGGTTATCTAAATTATTTTGGAGAGAAGTATATCATTGAGTGAGCTAATAGTATGAAATAATTTTAATTGTAAAAATTATAAATAACAAATGTGATAAATGATTGTCTTGGGGTACTCTTGATAATATATTAAACTAATATATTTTATTATTTATGCTCACTATTTGGAAGCAGTCAGCAAGATAAGAATGTTGCCATGACAAGATGAGTTAGTCGAAATTAAGTGTTTAACTCTGTGTAAATAAAATCTATTTGGCCACTGTATTAGATATATAAAGAACTTTAAAATATTAATATTGATTGATTCTTTTAATGAAAACAATGCCGTTTGAAGATAAGAATATGTTACAATGTGTATCTGATAATTCTTGTTCAATTAATTGTTCAAATAGTTTAAGAAAAACACTTAACTTAGATATTAATCTGCAATTAGTAATGTATGATCTATCACCAGCTTTTTTCAAATAGATTTCCAAAACCTAAGAATAATCACATACGTTCAAGAATAGAGAGGGAATGAAATTTAGACTAGATGAACTAATTCATCAAATATTTTTCTAAAAAATAGTGTAAAATAATTAATATTTATTAAATTTAATATACAAGAAGAAATATTTTGATTAATGTAATTAGAATATAGAGTATAAACAGAAGAAAAATAAAATATAAATAAGTATTTAATAGATAAATTATTATTAAATTGCATTAGTGCATAACACCTGGAAAATTTTGTCAGATTTTAAATTTTTGTATACTTCCAAAAGTATTTTGGATTTAGAGATAGTATTTTCTGTGTGGAGTAGGTAATCACGATAACATATCTTCAATAAATTTTTTATATTTTTTTGACATCATAGAATAATTTATAATCATCTTGACTGTTTATATTTTAAATTTTAAATAAAAAAATTTAGAAGAAAAAAAATGTATTGTTTTATTTCAATGTTAAACTTAATAGAAAATATAGAGTTATTATTAGTAAATTTAAGTATGTATTTATTTATTATATTGTATAAATATAACAACTCCTCACCCGTTTAATACTAAATAAAAAAAAAAAAAAAAATTTATAAAATAAACTAATATTTTTATTCATATTATGTAATAAACATATAAAATAATTATCTTAACTGATATCATGTAACTTAAGGCAAATTGAATAGTAGTCGGTTATTAAGCAATTAAAATCAGTATACAAGTTGAATTTAATTTTGTATTAAAATCAATTAACATTACAGTGAAACCTCTAAATATCGGACATTATCGGTCACTGAAATTTTGTCCGCTATTTAGAGGTGGGAAGGTAAATAAAAAATAAACAATTTAAAAATATATAGAAAAAATTACATATATAATTTGTATATATGAATATACTTATATTTATGTACTGCTTTTTTTTTTTGTAGAAATGTTATCTGCTAGTTTAACTGAAGAAGTTCAAAGGATGCGTCGCAAGCGTCAGCTTAACATGGAATTATCAGAGAATCGTAACTTGGATGACAGTTCTTCAGATAGTTCATCTGAGAATACATTTCCATCATCAGCCAAAGACAAACCGCTCTTCACTTTTCGTCAAGTATTATATTTAATATTTACTTAATGACTAAAAAACACAAAATACTACTATTCTCTAGTCTAACTAAAACTTACAATAGTTAAAACTTTATTATATTGTATTAGTGTACAGTTTTGTTTTCAAATTTATTATTGTGTTTGAGTAGTTAATTTTTTTTCATAATTTATTTCAATGATTTACTAAAATTTAATTGTGTAGATTAGTTAGTAAGAATATCAGAGCTGGAATGATAGTTTGGTCAAGATACTTAGAATAAGTAGGAATATAACAGTTAATTGCGTATGATTTTTGAAGAATTATTCGAGAAATTGACAGGACAAAGCATGTGGGATTGTAAAGTCTATGAAATGAATAGATATACCGATTACTTAAGATTGGTGGTATATAAGAATTATAGTTTTACTGATGATGTCAAAAATAGGATTATGTAATAAATGGGTGACGTTGAGAGAACTGGTGTTTGTGAGAGAATGACAGCACACTGTTTTCTCTCTCTCTCTGGCCCACACGTAACATAAACTAATGCTTTTACACAGAATCCTTTTTTTTATGTTTTTGAGAAATCATAGAGTAAAAACATATATTACTAAAGTTATAGAGTATAATATTTTTGAGGGTTTAACATATCTATTATTTTATTATTATTTAACTTTCAAAATTAAAAAATTGATATTTTAAACTGATATGTCATACCCTCAAAAACATGAAAAAAAATGATTTTGTAAATGCGTTTTAACTATGTTATACATGGTCCAAAGAGAGAAAAAAGTGCGCTGAAATATTCTTAAGATTAAAATAAAGATTTTTTTAAACCAGTTGTAAGACTAAGAATGTTCTATGGATTCGAATGTTAAGCAGTGGAAAAATGAAACAGAATAGATAGTTTAAGATAGATCAGCGGTTCCCAACCTTTTTGAGACTATTACCCAAAAGTCAGGTTAGATATTCACAAATACCCCCGACCCAAAAAAAAAGTTGAGTAAAAAAAAAACAAAATATATATTATGATGATAATTATAATTTATTTAATTTTTGCAAACAAAGAAAATAAGAGTTCTCAAAACTATTAACACTATTAACAACAATATTATATTATTACAATTTCATTTACAGTCATAATATACATGAGTAAATGAATAATAAGTACTTAAAATACAAATAGTTTAACTTTTACCCTCCAAAAAATCGTGTTTTTACCCACTAGGGGGTAATTACCCCCAGGTTGGGAACTGCTGAGATAGATAGATGTGTGAAGTCACATAAGGAATTAATTTGATGAAAGTTTTATTAAAAAAGCACCAATTATTGGAAAAATGAAGAAATAAATTTAAATAGTTTAGTTGTATTATGAAAAATTTTAAGGTAATTTGACTATAGAAATTAATTTTAGGAAAAATGAGAGAAAGACCAAAAAGGAAATTGATAGACAGACTAAAGAATAATACAGAATAGCTGTTATGAGTTAAAGAGGTGGGGATAGAGCTATATGGAGATAAACAATAAGAATGGTAGACTTCATATTATTAGATGCTTTAAAGTTTTAAATAGTTGTAAAATGCTACTTAAAGTTATACCAACCATCCTGCAAAATTTTAAGTTAATTTTTTTTTTTTTTTTTAGGTAGGTATGATTTGTGAACGTATGTTAAATGAACGTGAAAGTCAATTACGTGAAGAATATGATAAGATTTTAAACATGAAATTATCTGAGCAATATGAAGCTTTTGTTAAGTTTTCCAATGATCAATTGCACAGACGTTTTGAAGCAGCTGAGGATCCAAGCTGTAAGTTATTATTGATTGTTTTTATTTTTTTTTATTTATTTATTTTTTTTTTTGTGGGGATGAGTGGTTTAAGCAAAATGAGTTGGTAGCGTACATTTACTGGTTTGTACTCAGTCACAGACGGACTCTTTCTGTAAAGTAAGCAATAGGCTAGAGTAATATTTAATGTAATCCTTTTCTGAGTACACTGTAATGGAAGAAAAATATTACAAGTTATAGCTTCCGTGGTAAACATAATCTATACTGTTACAATAAATGGACTGCTATTAACTCAGTTTCTTTTACCAGTTTGCTGGAGGTAGTAGTATTTGGTATGGCAAGACGTGAAAGTTATTTTAGTATTGAATATGACATATTAATGTATTTTTCCCAAGACTTTAACTCTACTGCTTAAAGCTACACATACTATTTTTCATTCATACCTTTACTGCCTTTATTGGTATTATAGTAATCTATAATAAACTATTCTTAATATTCTCTATGTTTAGATTTACACAATTATTTATACAATTGTGCAGAAGTAATTCACCGACTAGCTAGAATTTTATACATCAAACTAATTGTGTAGACACATTTATGTATATTAATCTGGTTTGAACAGTAACTATATTCTGACCTTTTTTGCAGTTGTTGGAAATATTACTTAACTGTTTTCTTGGTACTAAAAAGTCATTTTCTAACACATTGATTGGCAATAAAATAAAAACATTCTGTATAGGCATCACTAAATTTGTATTTTATTATAAACTTCTGAATATCCATTTAATACCCATTTCAGTTCTAGTTTCAATTTTCTTCTTATTTAAAGATTTTGAATTTGTTAACAAACTTATGCCAAATTCAAGTATTAATTAATGTTTCATTATCTGCTTAAATGTATGAATTTCTTTTAACATTTTGTCTTAATTTAGTGTTCCATAAATAGTATAGTTAAATAAAGTTAACTTAGTTGTACTTAAATTCAAATATTTATGCAACTTAGAATTAGTATTTTGTAATTGATATATATTTTTTAAATACATTAATTTTTATTGATTTTTTTCTTTTTAATTTTAGATTTGTCGTAACTCTACAAGAACTCCAAGCGATGGTTTTGAATTTACAACAAAATTTTAGACGCACTTAATAGACAAAATAATTATTCAGCCTTAAGTCAACAATCGACTGACTAACAATGTTTTTTATGTATTATACATTTTTGTAAACTCGATATTATTAAATTAATTTAAAATATATGAATTTCATGATAATAGTAAAAGAGTAATAATTAATTTAAGTAATCATTAAGCTAAGATTGTTTTGTTTGTTTTATTCATTTTTATATTGCGTAACTAAAAACGTTGGATATTGGCTCAAAATCATATTAAAATTTAAAACTGGCTTAAGATATTTCCTTATTTTATTTAAATAAATATATATATGTATACAATTTTGTGAGATATTTTCAGTTAAACTTTTTTCTCTATAAAAATTGTAAATGATTTATTTATGTGAACAAATATTTTTTTTCTCAAACTCAGTTAAAATTTCTTTTAGTGGCTTAACACTACTTATTATTAGAGCTTGCCATTCTGATTTGTACGACTGAATTTGACGACATTTTATATATATATATTTCAAAAGTCCCCAGATTTTATAAGAATAAAAATGTTGGTTATGCCACTTCCAAAGTACTAATGTTTAAGTTATTTTAAAGCGAGTTGTTTGAGCAAGATTAAAGAAACAGTTCACTTTACACTGTAGCTTGTTCATTCAAATGGATCTCGCACTTAATTCTTAAAATATGATAATAATTATTAAATATATACATATATTATAAGTAAAGGTATATATAGTTTTTTTTTTTTTGTAAATGATAAGTAAAAATTATTTTTTCTATTAGGGCAACATGTAAATTATTTTGTTGGGAGAAAATACTTGTATAATTTAGTTTATAATACAAATTAATAATAAAAAAAAAGATTAAATTATCAAACTTATTGGTTGTATTTGCATTTTTTTTTTTTTAACTTGTGAAAAAAGTACAATGAACAAAATGTTAATACTTTTTAAACACTAAATCGATAACCTGAAATTAGATTTTTTTCTGTGTACTCCCAATACAATTATTTTTATTTTAATAATAAAAAATAGAAAAATAGATATGCCGTCTTATTGTCTAATGATTTGAAAATTGTTATATTTTTATGAAAGTACAAGTATTTAATCTAAAGAAGTACTAGTTAACATTTTAAGGGAGTTTGATATTTATTTTGACTGAGCTATGCTTGAAAATAAAAATTTATAACCATTGGTTCAATAAGTTGATATTTTGTTTTTAATACACACATGTATAATATGAATAGTATTGTTCGTATTAATTATTTTTTTCAACCCTTAAATTTTTTTGCGTTTTGTCAAATGATTCCTATTTATGAAAAAAATGAATATACTATAAATAGTTCTTCAACTTATTTCAACTATGAATTTGTTCTTATATTTAGGGATGATAATATTTAGTATTTTAGAAATTTTAATTTTCTCTTTAGACAATTCAAAAAATTTTCAGTACTGTTCAGTTTCTGATAATTTAGAATTGTAATAACTAATAAGCTAACACAATTTAATTATAAGTGTATTGTGGTGTACCCAGATTTATGATTATCTTAATTTAGGTTACAGTATATGTTAATGTTATTGGAATTAATTAAAATAAATGTTAAATCGAATAAAAATATTAAATTAGCCGTGTCTATTGTTCAGTTTTGTAATGGATACTAAGATATTCGCCGTAACTTATTGTTTAAAATAAATCGTTCATGATCTCGGTACGACAGTTAATCAAATTATAACAGAATTCTGATAGGTACCTATTTCTTTAATATTTATTTTTATTTTGAATAGTGTTCTAATTTGTTTTTTATCATTAATAATAATTTCTTGTTTTATCAGTTATCGCATTTGACATGAATGAAACGAAATTGATAACACATATTTGATTAATGATTTTCAAATGTTATGCTCATACGTCATAATATCTGGTTATGCTATCTAATATTGTAAGCCCTCTCTAGTCTCCGCGACTAAGTGCTGCTTAACCTTGATGTATTGGTATTTGCCATTTAGCGTGTGGCTCGTTAGCCGCGTCCACTTTGCACGAACGCAAGTTATCCTATTTGGAACTGAGTATGATATATAAATCTGTTATTTGTAAATACTGATATGGAACCAATTTAATATATTTTATCAAATATCAACTTGTGTTCCTGGATGAAATAGTAGTGATTGGTTATCAGTCACGTTATCACTGAAATTCACCCATGCTCATCAGCTTTGGATCATATTATACAATTATACATGATCTAAAACTAAAATGCTCACTGTCGAGTGCCGATGCCTCATTCACTCAAATTATCTCACTTGAGTTACTTCTAAGTTCTAACTGTGGAAGTTCTTGAAGCCAAATTATCGGCCAAAAAAATTATTGACAATAATTAATAATTTACAGTGCTTGTATGTTGATCTTTTTGATAGAAAGGTAAAGCTGATATAATTTACATAAAATTAAAAAATTGCTATAATATAATGACGTTTATCTATATGGTCCGTGACCCGTGTTTCAGTATTTTTTTTAATAAATAATGGCTTTGCGATTCTTAAAACGTACTTACAATCGAATGTTTCTTGCAAAAGACCCGAAGCCACCATACACAAGTCATGTAGTACAAATCGGTGATCCAGTATTGCGGTGTAAAGCACTCTCGGTCCCTTCAGAGAAGATTGGGACTGAAGAAGTACATAATGTAAGAATATTTGCTAAGCGGTAAGCGTTTGAAAACTACCTTAACGTTTTCATTGACAATAAATAATTGGTGCATGCAATGAGCTTTATTGTTTTAACAGTGATAATTATTTTATTGTTTAGCTCATTTATATTTTGAAATCACTTATGAAAAAATCAAACCTAATTGGTTTGGCTGCACCTCAAGTTGGTATACCGTTACAAATATTTGTTATTCATTTCCCGCATCCATCCCATTATTTCAGTAAAGAAGAGATAAAATTTAAAGGAATGGAACATGTTGAAAATCAGGTTATTTGAAAATCTGATTAGTAAAATACATTTCAAACTTATAAATTTGATTAATAGCTACTTGGTAATATTGTAGGTTTGGATAAATCCGGAACTTAAGGTTTTGGATCATGAAAAAATTACGTTTAATGAATCCTGTGCTAGCTTTAAGGGTTATTCAGCTGATGTACCCAGATACAAGCGTGTGCTTTTAACAGGTAAAATCATATCACGTTTCTATATTTATTGATTTTCATGTAATTTACTTATATAATGCATCTTAGGGATTGATGAAAATGGAGAGAAAAAAACTTTAGATGCAAAAGAATGGACTGCTCGAATAGTTCAGCACGAAATGGATCATTTAAAAGGAGTGATGTACAGTGATCGCATGGTACTAGATAGTCTTTGTTGTACAGGATGGCAAACTATTAATCAATATCAAGGATTTGTAGAACTTAGGTATGAAAATTAGGAAATTGCTGAATTGTCAAACATTTAAGAATCCATTGTCCTTTATTTTATGGGAATGAACTAAAATTGTTGATTATCTAGTTAATATTTTTGTATAATATAACTTGTCAGTAATTAATTATTAATAATTGTCATTGTATTGTTATTTTATTAATGTTTTATCATATAAAATTTTGAGTAAACCATATTTTAAATGGTGATAGAACTACTTTGAGATTATTCAATTATTCCAACTGGGAAAATATAAAACATATTTAATATTATTAAACTTAAAACATAATCTTAATTTTAGAAGTATACGCCAATAATTTTACTGCAATAAAATCATAATTTACTGATGTTTAGTTGATATAAATTTGCTAAATAATGTAGGTTTTTGGTAAAGCTACTTGTATAGAAAATCCATACTTCATTGATTGAAAATTGATAATTATTATATAATATTATATTGAATAAAAATCATCAGGTAATAAATGGAATATTATTTGATTTTAAATAATTTTTTGTTTGGTAGAAATTACTTTTAAAAATGTTTCATGTTCATTGAATTTTGTACAAAGTTCTTACAAAATAGTTTTATTTGTATAATATAGTAATAATTAATTTTTACATTAAAAATATGGAATTATTAACAATAAATTCATAATAGTTGTAATATCTCAATATCAATTTCCAGAGAAAAAAGTTTAAAATTAATCTGAAAAAATTAGGAATAAGTAAAACAAATTAAATTATTTAATTCAAATTCACATATATTTAATATTAATTGTTTAAAATATAATAAGAAAATTTGTTAGTTGACTAATAAATATCATTTTCAATAATTAATTTAATTATTTAAAAGTCTTTTCTTCCAACCATGGTCTTAGTATCGGCAAAGTGGATGGATAATGGGTCCCAAGTTTTCCATCAAATGATCCATTTTCTGTTCTAAATGGATATGTACCCATCATTATAGGAAGTTGTAGTTTTACATCCTTTTCCATATTATTCGGCGATATGATGAACTATAAAGTACAAAAATTAATTAGAATTGTTATTGTTAAAAAATAAATACTAAAAAATATTTTTTAAATTTTTTTTATTTGTCTTATGTTAGATAGAAATTAGTACAATTCGATCACTAACAAATACTTCACAACTAATTTGTAGTTTTTGATTATTTTTAATAATTATAGAAATACTTTCACTAATAAAAGAACATGACCTTGAATATTTATTTTCACATTACAATTTTATTCTACTTACATAAATATCATATTGAATGTTTATTAAATGACACCCACGAAGGTTAGTAGGCGGTAGTGGTGGCACGTACAGTTGTTCATTGTGCCATTGGTCCATTTCATTAGGTCTGATTTTGTCTCTTTTCAGCGAAGCTAATTCTCTGGTCTCCGATTGTATTATTTTGCTTTTAGCAAAGTATTGAATTGTCTAAAATGCATTAAAAACAAATTATTTAACTAAGAAAGTAAAAATTAAGTTTAATCAGCTGGAATTCAATATAATATACATTCAAAAAAAAAAAAAAAATGGGTATACCTATACAACCAAAAGGTACATTGATTATAATTTATATTTAACAATGCAGTACTTTTAGATTTTGATTGGAGTGATTTATTGTTTAATGAATTATTTTTATTTTTAAACGAAATGTGTAAATAATATACTTGAAAAATGCCTCAATCTACAGTGTTGAAGGATCTGGTAGCGAATAAAATTTTGTTTAGTATTTTATACATAAGGGTTTGATAAAAAATAAAAAAATTCACAGTTATACTTTTTAGAAAAACAACATTCATATATTATGTCCATTAGTCATAAGTCATAACTTATAAAACAGTTTGTATGCATTTTTTGTTTCACTTTTATAAATAGGTAGTTGTCTTTTATAGATGTGTATAATATATTAATATTATACATATAATTGTGATGATTATTTTTTCTATATTATTATTAATTTTTAAAGTATTGTTTGATTCTGTGCCCTGTACTATTAAATCATGGCAGAATGTTTATTGATATAATAATATGCTTTTATACTCACTTCCGTTAGCGTAGCTCTAGTCGATTTAATGGTAACTTTGCTGTTGTTGGTAACCGTGGCTGTGATCTCGATCGTCTCGCCTGGCACATAAGCACCCTTGTCCAGGCATACCTGACACTCGACCAGACCAGATCCCAAGCACATAGCTTTTGAAAGCTTGTGATCGATGTCGCACCGGAACGGTTCCTGTAAAATAATACATGTATCGTTGCTGAGACAAATACTATCAAATCTTATCGGTGTCGTCAGTGAAATAAGGAATATATGTGACGTTACATCTGCAGTAATGGATTCGAAGGATGGCAATTTAGGAATTATCACCCACTCTGCTTTACACTAAAACCTATTTACTTACAAGGACGTCACCATCATATCTGGTGGGATCATTAATTGAAGGATGTAATGTATTTTTAAATTTTTAAAATGTGTAAGTACGGTAAAATAATAAAAAAAATTATAATTTTCTTAAAAATTGTATACAGTTTGCGACAATATATTATGTATTTATATTATTTATTGTTTAAGTATTTTAAAACATTATTAGAATTTTAATGCTTAATTTAATTCATTGCAAATTTAAAAATGTAAACTTGGACTCTAATGTACGGAATAAATTTTAATTTAAATATCAAAAAAATTCCTACAGGGTTAATTGCTCTATTGCCTTTCTACCCTACCGATGAAGTCATTGGATAATTCTCGAATCCACCACTGGCGATGTTGGTATAGGTACAATAGGTACATTTATAATTTAATTATATTATTATTATTGCGTGTAACATGTTATACTACAGATAAAATGGACGGCTCCATGTTGAGATCAATCGGATTCATGACGATGAAAACTTGTTGGTTCTTGTGCGTAAGTGAGTTGGGTTCCCGGAGCGCTGCCTTGCAGTAGTACTGGACCCAGCCGGATTTTCCGAGGAACGTGGACGGTAGCCCCGGTGGTAGGCCCAGTTTAAACGGAAAACTGTGAATTCCCGGCGAGAGCATTACCGGAGGTTGTCCTGCACACAACATAGACGACATTTTAAATTAAATAGTACATTACAATAATGGCATTGGTAAAGCGAAATGTGATCTACCGGGTCTGCTGTGATCTTTTATTAATAGGTAACTTATAATATGCCCTTTGTGACTATGGAAATCATACTTAATATAATACATTTATTGGAATCTGTATAATTTAAAAAATTGTTGTCATTATATCTTTATTATTAATTATACATACCCGGTTCTCCGAGAAGTCTCATCCTAAAATCTATGTAGTTTTCCTTGTCGTAAATCCGCTCACGTCGTTTGCTTTTCAATCGCACTATTCCTTCGCCAATGACGTGGAAATGTAAGCCTATTTCATAAATAAATAAAATATTACATTACATATCAAACCGTTAATCCGTTGATAGGCTTATATATTTATAATAACGTGTATGATTATTGTATATATTATTAATATTAATGATATTTATGTTTGTTGCAATGATAGGCCGATCGCTATGCATAATACCGTAACAAATTTATAGCTTTCAATTACAAATACCACTGTAAAGTTATACAATTTGTGATTTTGACATAATATATTTATATATGTATAAAGTTGTGTATTTCGTCGAATATAGTCACGGCTGACCCGCTGAGGTGATGTTCCGTAAATCGTTAAATTGTTATAGGTATGCTGGGTTATTATCTTTTGTAGTTATTTTTATTATAATAATAAAATATTTTATTTCTTCTCATTGATACTATGCGTATAGATTAAGCATTGGGGTGAGAATGTAAAATGTTTACATTTTATAATGTTTATATTTTACACGGTTTTTAGATAGTTATTGGGGTGTCAGCCATGTATGTACTAACTTTGTTAATTTTGTACCTAATTAAAAAATTATTTATTCACAATAGCTTAATAGATATTGTCTATCTGAATCTGTAGAAAATTGATATTGTTATTTTAAAAAAGTAGGCAAGTTTTATTGCGCACGCGCATGCCGTAGAGGTTAAAGGTTAAACATATGAAGCTTTTTCAGAATGTTTATTTCGATTATCTACTTCATTTCACACAAACGCAAACGCCATTTCAATTCAATATCAATCTAATGTAATATTTAGTGGTACCCTTTTGCGTAACTACACTGTAGTTCTGTAGTTTTAGTATATTATTACAGAACTTATTACTCAAAAATCAAAATTTTATTTATCAAACTTTCCAAGTTGTGCCTACTCGATACGTGCATTTTTAGTTATTTATTATTTTAAGATCATATTTGACGTTTTTGATGTAATAATAACTTGGTAATTATTTTATTATCTTATTTTAAAATTGTTGATCTAAAATTTGTTTTGGGTTATTTTATATGGCATATTATTATATTTAATAATTAACAAAAATGTTCTCTAAACTATGACACTTGTTAGTATCGTAAAATAGTTTAAATTTTTAAACATTATATCCAATAAGTATAGTATACTACATATAACTATATTACTACTATAACTACATTTTAATGTAAATGCATTATTAATATAATATATATTATATTAAATGTATTAGGAACTAAAAATATTAAACTATATTTGTTTTTTAATTATTAACATACTACTATTCATATTAATGGAAACGTAATAATTTATTATGACTAAAAATATTATATTATTCGTTTGTTTTTAAACTGTATACCACAATTAATTTTGAAGTTGTATGGATATGATACTATATTGTTAACACAAAATATTTATCATAAAATTATTTGGATAATTTTTTTTTATAGAGGTGCGGGATCTCAATTTTGGGGTTATATTTATAAAAGAAATCATTATAACTATACATTTGTCATAGAATCATTCAAACATTCTTGTAGCTTATTGTATGGTCACTAATCATTATAATAATATAATTATGCAACCGAATTGTACAATCACTTAATTTCTCATTGATTGGTCCGTTAAATTGTTAACGAGCCTCAAACAGCATCGAACAGTCGTGCAGACGTGTAGTATATGACTTGGTGATATATACTTTTACAACAGTCAACAACTAAATAATATCTTGCCATTATTATAACTGTTGGATGACTG